GGGACAAAGTCTCACTCTGTCACCCAGGCTACAGTGCAGTGGCATGATCACAGCTCACTGCAGCCTCGAACTCCTGGGCTCAGGTGATCCTACCTAGAGGAAATTACATTATTAATGCTAATTACAGGTAAGGAAGCCCAAACACAGATTGTTAAGGAATGTTCATGAAATCAACAGCTTCTCAGAAGCAGGGCTGAGATCTGGGCCCAAGTTTACCCAGCTCCAAAGCCAATGTTTTCATCCACTTGCCTCTACAAGCTCTCCTCCACCACCTACCTATCATAGCACCGTCCCATCAAGGACCTTTAAGATCAGAATACGTGGATCTGTAGACATGAACCCATTTTTGCCCCTGTTGAACTTTTACAAAACTGGTAGTTTTGGTTTCTCAGTTACCACTAGAATTAAGTCAGAGGGACCACAATTTTTTTTTTTTAGACAGAGTCTCACTCTGTCACTCAGGCTGGAGTGCACTGATGCGATCTCGGCTCGCTGCAAACTCTGCCTCCCGGGTTCAAGTGATTCTCTTGCCTCAGCCTCCCGAGTAGCTGGGATTACAGGTGCACCTGGCTAATTTTTGTATTTTTAGTAGAGACAGGGTTTCGCCATGTTGGCCAGGTTGGTCCCAAACTCCTGACCTCAAGTGATCCACCTGCCTCGGCCTCCCAAAGTGCTGGGTGTAGGCGTGAGTCACCATGCCCGGCCCAAAAATTTTCAAAACTACACATTTGATGTATCTGAATCACAAGCCTAAAGATGCAGTGTTTTATACTCATGGTTGTGATCCTATGGTTGATTCTGTAATTGTTATGTACTTAAAGCAAGAAAGGATATCATTAAAATGTCATACGGCGTAAGACTTTAAAAGCATCTCTTCAATTATATATAATTGACCCTCTGCTGACTTTCTTAACAAGATTTTTAAAAATCCAGATTCAAGTAAATATTGAAAAGAATGTCATTTTAATTTCTTTGTCTGGCCATCCCACCCTAACAAAAGACTGTGACCTTCCTCTGCTACCCTGAAAAATCTAAGGTTTTTTATTCTTACTAAGGAAGTAGTGTTTCCTTACGTTAGAAAAAAATACAGGAAGATTACCTACCTCAGAAAAGAACTCGTCCATAAAAGCCGTGTTGTCGATAGCAATCTCAACCTCATCAGTATCATCATCCTGTGTCAACTGCTTCTGCAAAAGGCAAAACAGAGCAGAGTGAGACTAAAAACACAATAAATGGCTAACATTACTGAAAGCTCATGAAGTACCAGGAGCTATATTAACCATCTTACACATAATTTCCTTTAAAACTCATAACAGCTCTATGATGTATCAAACTCTGGTGTCTCAACATCTGAAATTAAATCCTAGCTCTACCAATTGCTGTTTTGTTTTTGTTTTTGTTTTTTCAGGGGGTGAGGGGGAGAAAGGGAGGAACTGGCAAGTTACCTATCTTGCTGTGCCTACGTTTCCTTATCTGTTAAATGCTGATAACAACACTACCTGCTTCATAGGATTGTGTAAGGAATAAAACAGATAATGAATATAAGATGCTTTTGCATGGTGCCTGGTACACTGTAAGTTCAACACATGTTAGGTCTTGTTGCTGTTGGTGGTGGTGGTAGTTACCGTAACTCACTACAGTTGAGGAACCTAAAACTTAGGGAGGTTAGGTAACTTGGCAAAAACCACACAGCTAAAACATGGCAACAGAGTCGAACTCATCTTTTGGATCTGAACCCCAGGGTTGCTAAACCCTTCTCCACACTGTTCAAACAGGTTCCAGACACAATTCCTACAAAGCATAAGCTTTCAATCTTCACGTTAGGAGTAAAGATTTTCCTGTTTTCAGAAACCACCTATCACAAAGGAAACAATGCTATGTCACTCCCTGTCAGAAGCTCCTGTTTATAAGAAAGAGGAAGCTCTCCCCCGGCCCCCAGCCACCTCTGGGGACCTAAGCTTTCTCAATCTCATTCAACTTCCTTTGTAAAAATTCACAAAATGGTAATCTAAAGGAAGTGATTCCATTCCCACCCAGCATAAGGGCCTGAGCTGTTTCTACATTCCTCTCCAGTGTTCTTCCCAGACAGCTGCTGCACAGCACATTAATCTCTGATTTCTAAGCACAGAGAACTGACTGTTGTGAAAGGTGGAGGTGAGGCAGGAGATGAATCCCCCATACCTGCTTCTTCACAACTTTCAGCAGCCTCTGACCCTCTAAGTCCAAGATATATCACTCTCAAGCGCTCAGAACTCCATGGGCAATCAATGCTACCTGGAGCCTCTTTCCTTCACCCACTACCATCCCCCTGAATCCACGGCAGAAGTTGTTACCGGGAAATCCTATGGTTATTGGGGATTCTCCAGCCATATGAAGAGTCTCTTGATCGGCTCCCCCAGCATCTCATTCTCTGGCTGGTCTGCAACAATCAGCACTCCCAGCTTAATAGCCACATTCAAGGGAGTTGAATTTGAGGGCACTGCTACCACCTCCCCAATCATCTTCCCGAAATTCAGAACTGACCATGTGCCTCTGCTACATAACATCATCCAATGACAGCTCAACTCCTAGAATTTGAAGTCCCAGTGCCTAACAGAGCACTTGGGGCCCTTTAAGATCCAGCTCCACTCATACTTCTCCTTCTATGATGCACACTCTAGACCAAGCAAGCACTCGGACACACCATTTCCTGGACACACCATTCTTTCAGATCACTCTATCACACGAGGTGTCCTCCTGAAAGGCATTGGTCCAACTGACCAAAATTTCCCTAGCCCTTAAAATTCAGCTCAGACAACCTCCCTATGCCTGACCTGGGCATGGCTCCCGCATGCAAAAGTTAAAACCTCCCTAAGCTCCCACGGCACTTTGCACAAACTTTCGACACCAACTATCACAGCCCTTTACTCACCCCTTTACTCACCTGTCTTTCCACACCAACTACAAACTCCTGGAGATTCTGTTACAGTAGATACTTTGGGGTTTTCCGTATGGGCGGGGGAGGGGCAAGTTTATGGAGGAGGACTCACTCTGCTGACCAGGCTGGAATGCAGTGGCGCAATTACAGCTCACCCCACCTTCAACCTCCTGGGCCCAAGTGATCCTCCTGCCTCAGCCTCCCAAATAGCTAGGACTGCAGGCATGCACCATCAGGCCCGGCTAAATTTTTTTATTTTTTTGTAGGGACGGGGGTCTCACTAAGTTCCCCAAGCTGGTCTCAAAATCCTGGTCTCAAGTAATCCACCCGCTTCAGCTTCCCAAAGTGCTGGGATTATAGCTGTGAGCCACTGCACCCAGCCAGAGTGGATACTTACATGTGTGTCTGTGTCTGCTCGCAACACCTTCATCTGTGGAGCAACCCCTCACGCCCTCCACATGATTTGGGGGAGGCGATCAACCATGACCCAAGCTCCCTGAGGAATCTGAATTGTGACAGGAGTCTGAAGTGAATGGGCCCGAGTCAGTCGATGGCCGCCCCCAGAGATGTCAGTGAAATTCCCAGAGCTGCCCTTGTTCCCATGCTTCCCACAACATCCCTTGGCTTTGGGCAGGTTCTACAGAACTTCCCTAGTCTTCTTTCAATGAGTTCAACAGTATCCTCCTAACATGTCTTTTTAAGTTCATTTAGCCAGACTTGGGTTTTGTCACTTGCAATTAAAACTGAGCACTGTGCCTGTCATTAATTCATTTATTCCACATTTCCTGAGTGCTCACCCTGCACCAGGCATATAATAGAAATTTAACCAATTTTAGCTGAATAAATAACTAGCTTCCACAGAAACTGGCAGCCAGGATTCACCATCAGTTTCTAAAGTTTGAGACAAAATGTTCCCTTCATCAAGTATCACCAACTCTCAGGCCCCTCAGCAACCTCTAGAGAGTTCCAGCTCCCACGAAGTTCAATGTAACCCAGTCTTCCTCTAGGAGAGTGAGTTAATAAGCTTTTTGGGGAGTATCCTTTCTTCAGAATCATCTAGAGAATGACTGAGGGGACAGACCTCAAGTATACCCATACACACACTCCCCACACACACACACCCTATACATACACACACTCCATGCATACACCCGCCCACCCACACTCCACATACACACACCCTACACATGAACACACACCCTACACACATACACTCCACACATATACTCACCCACATACACTCCACATACACACCCTATACACGTACATTCCACACATACACCCATACCCCTTCATATACCCTTCATACACACACAGTACACACACAAACCCCTTACACACATACCCTATACACACATGCTACACACATACACACACTCCACACATACACCCACACCCATTCCATACACACACACCCTACACACACTCCACACATACACCCACACCGATTCCACATACACACCCTACACACACTCCACACACACACCCACACCCATTCCACATACACACACACCCTACACACACACACTCCACACATACACCCACACCCACACTCACACACACTCATAACCCTCCCACACACATCTACAAGCTCCCACACACACACCCACACCCACAACCCACTACACACATACACCCACACTCCAACACACCCCCTCCACACGTACACCCACACACCCTCCCCCCACACACACAAACACACACACACATACACATGTATACCCTACAAGACATCAATTCAGTCTTCAAACACATGTGTTAAGGAAATGGGAAGAGGCTACCATCATGGGATGGGTTAAAGGAAGTTTCCAGTAGCTGGGAACAACTGTGACCTGGAGCACGAGAGGTAGACACCAATCACTCCATCATGACATAAGTTCTCGAGACCCCCTAGTATCCGTACAGGGATTCCCCACATCCACAATGGCTACTTCTTGGCTTTGAGCAGATCTAGCCAGGCAGCCTGGTGGCCTTCAGTGAGAATCTGTGAAATGGGCAAAGGGAAACCTAGGTCCAAAACCTGCTGTTACCAATTACTGGCTGGGATGCCTCAGTCAAGTCCCGAACCTCTCGGAGTTTCTAACCTGTAAGTAGTAATACCCCTACACACCTTATGACCTTTATGAGGACCGAAAGAGATCACATATGGAAAGCACAACACCAGGCATATATCAGCACCTAACCCCACTGCCCCACTGAAAAGATGTGGGTGTACATGAGCAGAATCCCCTGTGAGTCATCACTGTCCGCATCCATCCTCATCCTCATCCTCCTCCTCTTCCACAGGAAGTTCTCAAACTAAAGGCTAAGTCAGTAAGATCGGCTCCATGGCAACATAATGGCCAGCGCGCTATACCACAGTCCATCGCATGCTACTGACTGAACATTAAACAGATGGTTTAACCCCTCTGAACCTCAAAAATATGGAATCAACCTAAGTATCCGTCAATGGATGATTGGATAAAGAAATATGATTGATTGATAGATAGATAGATAGATAGATAGATAGATAGACAGACAGATAGATAGAGGTAGACAGACAGACAGATATGGCAGGGGAGTAGATGACAAGAAATTACTTAATGGATACAATGTATAATATTTGGATGATGGATACACTAAAAGCCCAGACCTCACTACTATGCAATATAGCCATGTAACAAAACCACACTGCTACCTCCCCTTAAAGTTACACACATGTAACACACCTCTGAGCCTCAATCTCCTCATCTATATAATAGGAATAATAGAGTATTTTTAGACCTTGCTTGAGTAGCAGACCCTATACCACTGCAACAGCCTCCTGCCCATCCCCACCTCCATTATCTCTCCGGTCCAATCCCGTTACATCCCTGTTTCCCAATACATGATGGTTCCCTATTAATTACTGTGCAAAAGTCCTCAGCCTGTCTGTCACAACCCTCTGGAAGCTGACCGTATTTATGCGTTTAGCTATATTCCCACTCTTCTCCCCCAGGCACTTTCTGTTCATCAATTTGATCTCCTCACTGTCTTCTGCACACATCCCATTGCTTCCTGCTCCTGGGCTTTCTTAATACCACGCCCTCTCATTCTTAACCACCACCAACAGTCATATTAGCACTATGTCCCCTTATTCCCAACCACAACCAATATTCATATACTCCTCTGCTATCCAAATCCAACTCTCAAGGTCCAGCTCAGGTTCCACTTCTGCCACCAAACTTGCCCCACTTCATGTTTAACAAATAGTTTTATGAGTTGCCATCTCAACTTCAAGCTCAATTTTAA